ATTCCATTAAACCTATTGATAGGTAACATACCCTATAGGATATGTAAATAAATTAATATTTTACTATCTTTCATGTTATTTATTAATTGGGTAAATTAAAACGTTTTTAATGTTCTTTGTTTATCATCAAGATATCATTATTCATTACTAATCCTTATATTATTTGTTCCAAAAAAATATTTTATTGATAATCTATCACATGGGCGTATTTTAGGGAGGGTGAAGATTCAACCTCCCTCCCCTTGAATCTGTATTTAAGATGTATTATAATCTGTATTATATGTGAGATACACAATTCAAATTTTTTTTAATGTGGATCATTTTATAACGAAATCAAATTACGCGTGGCTGTGAATACTGAATTGGGCTTTTTGTCGGGTCCATATTTAGTGAAAAATCAAATAAAATACAAGCGTATCTTTCAAAACACAGACAGGTATTAAAAGACAACTACATAAAAGTCAATTCTAAGTGGATCCATCATTAGATTAAAAAGAAAAAACACAAATATTAAGGATTCACCTGATTTAAATATTACCAAAAATTTTACTAGTAAATTTTGAGCCTGAATTAAAGAAAAATTTGAGTCCCCTCTCCCTAGAAGTAAGTTTAAATACTATTCTGGTCTATCTTCCATAAAAATTAAATATTTAAATATATAGGTAACCATAATTTTTTAAATATTATGAAGTCAGCAAATTTAACCAACTGTCCCACCCTTTCAAAAGTTGAAATTACGCCCCTGTTGTAAGTGAAATGGGCGCAAATAGGCTATAGCCATCAGAATTAAGGATGAAAGAGAGTTTGACAAGAAAAAATCAAGATTTTAAGAGAAGTCAAGCCGTGCATATTTCAACCAATTGAGCGATAAAAATGTCGTTAGATATAAATGTCGCGTTTCTCAACCTTTTGAATTCACGACCCCCCACAATGTCACCAATATGTCTAATAACCATTTTGTAACGTAAGCATTGAATAATTTTTCAAACTGATATTATTGTATTTATTTGTGTATACATTTTACAAAAAAAAGTATATTATAAAACCCGATTGGCGTTAATTAATAGAAAAATAAATAAAAATGAAGTAAATTTTAATATTTTTTTAATTGAATGACTCTTTTGCTGTTGTTAATTTGAAATAATTTTTTTTCCACATGATGTGACCCTAAAAAAATAGTTAGTGACCCTCCGGTTAAGAATCACTGGCCTAGAAGATGATATATTTAATTACTGGGCGACAATGTTGTTTTGGTAAAAATTAAGATATTTGTAATTATTTTAAAATGTTATTTATTAGTAGTTCATTATGCTTGATTTTGTAACTTGTTTATCATTTACTTTGATGATTTGAAGTTAAAACATAAATTATATTGATTATCAAAATATCTACAGTAGAAAACCCATACGATATTGTATTCTATACAGTATTTGGAAAAAAACGTCGTTCGTAAACAAACGTTCACGTGTTCACATTTATTTTTTGTGAAGAACACACAAACGTCACTCTATTTCAGGTTGAACCTGAACATGAAGAATGTTTATATTTTAATGAATTTTAATAATTTTTGGAACTTCAAATTTATTTCATCATCATCCTCATATGGCTTATGACTCTGTAAGATTTTTCGCCCCCTCTGTTAATGCTCTCCAACTTCCACGATCCTTGACCAACTCTTCCTAGTTTGTCATTTCAAGTATCTCTAGATCTTGATTTATGCCATTTATCTAGCGTTTTGGCCTCCCCTTGTTCTCTTCCTTTCTGGTTGTCAATCCATAGTTGGTCTAGTTTATCTAGCTTTGCTTGTTGCATCTCTCCGTTTAACATGACCGAACCATTTTAGCCTTTGCCTTTTTATGTAACTTGTTATCACAGGTATTTTTGTACTTTACTCTTATTTCTCTATTTCTTTCTACGCCTGCAATTGACTTCATCATTATATACGGGTCCACATATTGTTTTTAATACTTTGTTTCAAAGGTCCTTTGGAAAAATTGAACGTAATCGTGTATGCTTTAAAAAAATTAACATGAACGATGATTTCCCGAACACTGATTACATAACTTGATACATTACAAGTTTGGATTGTACTATTAGAGTTTCCTAGGTTTAAATATTAAACACTGACATTTTTTTTTATTCTATAAATTCATTATACAGTTTGTTGATGTTAATTTTATCGATTTTGATGAAATGCGTATAATTTTTTTTTTGTCGCCCAGTGAAAATTTCATAAAATATTCACTGAAGTCAAATGTATTATTGTGTATATGTTATGGTGAAAGACGAAAATTAGTGAATGACGTCATTTACCAAGACTGGTGGTAAATTATGATAAATTTCAAATAATACATTGATTATTTTACTCTAGGATACTATTTATAAATTATTTATTGTTGGTGGATGTTTCATTTTTTATTTTAGGTACTTAATTGTATGAAATGTTAGGTTAATTTAAATAAAGAAAATAGATGTATATTATAAATTATTCATTTGTACAATTTGGTTAGCATGAGATTTTGAATTGCACAACATTTCTGCTGCATTGCAAGCACATTTTTTAATGCCACAACCAGTTTTACCTTTGCATCGATTGAAGTCTTGATGACCAACTAATCCTTGTCTTACGGCTTTATGTAAAGTTAATTTCCTATCTTTAATATTTTTTATGGTTATATTTGGGTCTATACATTTTTTTAACATAAGGAAATTTGTGCTCTCGTATATTTATGTTTCTATACGCCATATTCTGTACCGGGGCCAAATATTCGGGTACTTATTTTATTTAAAATTAAATAAATATAATCAAATCAAAATTGACGAGCATAATTTATGCATGTCATATTAACGTGAAAATAATAATAGATAATTATCTATCTACTTCCATAATGGTATTTTAATTAATGTAGCTTTATTGAGTATCACTTATCACTTCGTTCCAACCGACATAAATTTATCGAACATCATACTCCAACTAAACTAGGGATTAATGTCAATAACTGATGAATGTCTATATTTACAACAAATACCATTTTTTAGGTTTTTACGCGGGAATGACATCATTTACCACGTTTACATCATTCACCGTAATATAAACAAGTTTCACGGTAATTGAAAAGGGATAATCTAGAGAGAGAAAGTAAAAGCTAGTCAAAGAGGGGATGGTTGTGGTTTTACAGTGTTTTTTGGAAAGGAGGGTGAAGATTTCAGAAAAAGGTGGAAGAAATACGAGGGATGAAGATAGCGAGATAACGACTTACATCTTGTCGGCTGGAGAAGGCCACACAATGCCATATGCGCCTGGTGAGTAAGAGAAGAAAACTATGGTCAGGTAGAATTAACTGGAGAAATATTACGGTATTGGTTGAAAAATTAACAGGAAGGGAAGACCAACTGAATTTCCAAGCTTTCAATAAATTTTTACTGTAAAAATTAAGTATTAGTTAGATCTGTAGAAGGAATTTCAGGTAGAAAAGGATAAAAAATAAATATTGGAGAAACAGTTAGCCGATCAACTTTTTCATTACCAGCTATGTCAACATAGCAGGAAGCTCAGAATAATACTAGAATACTAGAAGTCATTCGGCTGAAAAAGAGGCGAAATAATTAATTTCATTTGAGTAAGAAATTTTGAATTGTGGAACGAAGAAGGAAAAATTAGCTAAGCCGGGGAATTTTAATTATTAATTATAATATAAAAATTACATACAATAAATCATATTAACATGTTTATGAGTATCTATAAGTGTATATAAGTAAATAGTTATTAAGTCAATCAGATCAGTGACATGTAAATACGTTATGATGAATGTTTAATGATATATGTAAAACTAATGGTCAATTTGTACTAAACACTTAAAATCATTTTTTTATTATTATAAGCGAGGTTTGTATAATTTTCTAATTATTAAAACCATAATAATCGTTGGTCGACGATTGTCAGTAAGTCGAACCCTGTGGTAAAAACAATTATTTTTTCTTGAAAATAGATAAAAACACGAACCAAATGTATGTCTGCCTAGGTACATACCGTCATGACTACATACATACAAGGTCAGTGTAGTTTTTGTTGCTAGCCGGTTATAACTTCTTTTACACTTATTTTGTATATGTTTTAAGTAAAAAATAACTAAATATTATTTCCATTACAGACGTATAATTGTATTTAATAATAAATAAATAAAAGTGATCTATTATATTATATATATATATATATATATAAATTAAATACAACCAAATTATTATTATTATTTTTAATCATTAAATTAAATTTATAATTATTTTGCGTGTCAGGACTAAACGGGACAGTATTACATATAACTCAGTGGCGGTTCTATCCATGGATAAGAAAGGCATCTGCACGATCAAAACTGTTTCGCCTTTACCAGTCAAAAATTAAAAAATGAATACCACCAGAGGCTAGATTAAGAATAAAAATAAAAAAATTTATAAATCATTTGTTATTTACATTTTTCTGTGTATTAATCAAGTGTTGAGGAAAAAATTTGACGATCGAAGGATTCAGAACCTTCAATTTAGGGGTCCATAGTCTATATATATTCGTGCCCGTACGAAACTTGTGTCCCGAATACTGCCCTTATTGATAATAACATTTATTCACGAACCAACCGATTTTACGTAATTTTATGAACGTATCTTTTATTTTTATTATTGATATAATTTAATGTGTCCAATAAAAATTGGAACTCGTTCCCTTTGCTGGTTAGCGCGACGCGGCTGCTCGGCGGGAAAGCAGTAACGCGAAGAGTAAAACCAAAACGTTACATGCCGTCGTTCGCTCGCGCACTAGTACGTATCGCATGCACCGCGAACACGGCGAACCCGTACCGGCGCGCGCCGTACACGATAAGATTCGCAATGAACTTGTACCGCGTGTGCCGCCGGGGGTCATCGTGCGTGTGTGATATTTAGACAGTCTGGCGTCCTCGTTGGTGGGGGGTACGTTGCGTGGCGTCGCGAGAGCGTGCGGTCTGGCGCGTCTGACTCGTCCAGTCGGTGGTACACGCGGTCCGCGCCGGTCCAACTCCCTTAGTGAAACGCACGCGCCGCTCCGCGCGCACAAGTTTCCCCTCGGAAAAATCTCATCGCGCCGACATATTCGAAACCGTTGCCTCCCCCGAGTGCGGTGCGCTCCCACTTACCCGTCACTGTTTGTTTCGCGTTCTCGTTCTCGTTTTTTATCTATTTATTTATTAATTTTCTTACCGTTTCATTTGCTCCCTTCGTCCGGCAGTGGACAGCAGCGATTCGCTCGTCGTCGGCGACCCGTTGCTAGTCCCATACGAGTCGCACACGGGTACGCGCCCGCGCGTGGATACGTTGCGGACAGCGTCCCGTACATGAGCTCGTCGCGCGTAGCCAGCAGGTGGCCGCTGATCGCTACGCTGGCCATCATGTCCGTCGCGGTCTTCGTGGCCACCGTCGCGTGGGCAACGGTGATCGGTTCCCAAACGATGTCCACCAAATATCTTGTTGACCGGGTCACCACTGTGTCAATTAACGACACCGCACCCGCACTCGTCGCTGGATTTAATTTGCGGTCCGGTGAGTACCTCCTATGCACGTAGGACAACGCGACATTTGCCCGGGTAGTGTGTGGCGCGCGCGCGCTCACGTGTGTGTGTGTGTGTGTATCCCATGGGGTATGTTGCGAGCACGACCATGTTTAGAATATCGTCCAAATTAAAATTTCGAAAAATCCGAATAAAGTAATATTGTGTACTGAAATATTGTTCTTTGTGATTACGATTGCACTTTAATTTTTATGCATATTTAATAATATTTTTTCCGAGTATTGGTTATAATTAAAACACGGGATAGTGAATAAAAAAAATTTTTAAAACACAATAATTTTTTTTTACACATGCCCACTCACTACAGTATATCACAATATTATTTATTTAAAAAATAAACATTCTTCCGCGCTGGATTGTAAAAAAATGTATACATTTTATAGATTCACTATGATTGGATGTCCATGGGACTGTCAAATAATTTTAAAGGTGTATTTGATTTTATCCAAAAGTTAATATGATAAATTAACATTCAATTTAAACAAATTTATACGAAATATATTATATAATACAGGTGGTTTGCGTTATTATTAAAAATTATTATTCTATTAAATACTGCTTAAAAATTGAAATTTTTAATGAAAATTATTTAATTATTTATCATAATTTCCAATTGCAGTGCCAAAAAATACCTTTATACCACGAAAAAATTAGATGTGAAGTTTGTTCGTTCTTTTAGATAAATATAAATGCAAACTAAACTTCGATTAAAAAGAAATAAAAAGCTGATTTACGCGTATAATTTAATATTATCTTTCTATTCTATATATATAGTTAAAATGTATATTTATAGGTACCACTTGATGAAAAATAAAAGTTAAATAACTGTCATATGTAAAAAAAATTAGCCATTTACATAATATTGAATATTAGTATATTATTGATCGTGATGATTATTTTTTTATGCTTCGATAAAAATATTATTTATCCATCCGAATATTAGTTTAAAAATAGACAATTAGGTATTTGCTATTTAGTTACGTGAAATTCTGAAGAAGGTTTAAATAGTTCATTAAGTATGTAACGTAAACAATATTCGTCAAATATTGTATTATATTGTTATTGTATTTATAATAGTACACTATTTAAAAAGAATTGCCAAAAACATAATTTTCTTCTTGGATTCTTTATTTAAGTTACATAATACGTTTTGATCTGACCTATATAATATGTGTGGCTCGAGTTTAGCGTTAGCAACCAACTATTAAAAACTAAAGTAATAAAGTTCTAAAGTATATTTATAATTGATTAGAATAATTACATATTACATATATATTTGTTGAACATTGTCATTTAAATAATCAAATACAGTTCACCAAAAAAATGTGAATTAATTTCGCTCTTAAAATCATTGAAAAAGTGACAAATAAAGATTGAATTATTAAATTACATAAATAATAATATAGGATTAACTGAACCGCTTTTTTTAGTTAAATTATTTTGCTTTGTGATTAATAATACAACAAATTCATTAAAAAAATCGTGATGGATGGAGACGGTTATGATTGGATGAGTGGTCTACAAGATAATAAGAAAAAACAAATCATTACAATAGGCTCATAAGTATTTAATTCGGCAAATGTACGGTAATACATTAGTAAGTATAGGAATAATACATTATACTTTGAAGAAATAATCGTTTTATTGATCAGGATAATTAATATCAACTTTATTGAGTAGTATAAAAATTAAAATCGCATTATATTTTACAAATAAATTTTTAAATAGAATTACCATAAAAATATTCAAAAGTATATTATGTTTATCGTATGTATTTATGACAAATATTTTACAGATGAACTTTTTTTTATATATATATTAACTTTATTTTAATAATTAAATATTTGATTTTAACAATATATAACGTAGATGTTTATATCAAATCCATGCACATACACACACGTACATTTTGTTAATTAACATTTAATAAAATAAAGATGTATACATCCTTACACCATAACTCTTAAAGTATAAATCTTTGGATTACCATAAAAAAAATTGGTTATTAATGTGGAAAAAAGTGTGTTTAACATTTTAACACGATTTATTATTTATTTTATTAGAACTGTTGTTTTAGAAGTTTATTTTTGTACTTATTTTAATAGTAATAATAATTGTATTAAATAATATTTTTTGACAAGTAGGAGTACCTAATTATGATTAAATAGGGCTGTTTTGTACAATCTCGATGGACGTTTTTGCATTGCAAATAATATCTAAACCGATTCGGAAACTTTTCAGTGTGGTTGTATTTTTATCCTGGCAATGAGCCATACATAATCATTTCTTGCAGACATTTTATCGATGAAATGTTGATGTACTATTTTCATTATTTTCCTTTCACTAACATTATTTGACAATTTTAAATATCATTAATGTATTTTATTATTGTAATTAACTATAAAATATTTAAAACTCAGCTGTATTATCATATTATATATTTTGGTCACCTTAATTTCTCTTTTTACTTTATAAGTTATAATATTTCTATCCATAGTTACTGTTATTTAAATAATCATTTATAATTTATGTTATACTTGCCTATTTATATGTTGTGAAAATGTTTTAGTTAGATTATTACTATTTTAAAAGAAGAAATAAGTACGAGTTAACCTAACGAAAATTTACAAATAAAATTAGTTTTATTATAATTTAAGATTTATGATTTTAAAATCTACGAGTACTTACCTGTATATTTCATCACATTAGTTCCATGCTAAATTATTGCCGACACATTTTTTTTTCAGAAATGTATTAATATTCATTATAAATCAATTACAATATATATTCTTATAAATATTAACCATTTAATATTTTTTAATTTTAATTAAATTTTCTATTAATGTATTATTCTCATACATTATAGTAAACTACATTTACATGTATATACAATATATACAGTATATAATATCTACATATTATATATTATACTTACAATAATTATTGTCAAAACACGTTGTTCAATTCATATTTTGTAATATGTAAATATTTCTTTTTTCGAAATATATTTTCAAAATCATATTACATCAACAAATTAATTTAAATTTTGTTAAAACCACCCGATATAAAATGTAGTCTTCAGAGACACTCAGGAGACGTAGGCGTGGCCTGTACGGTTGCTAAAATATTGCTCACTAAACAAACCGCGTTCATTCAATACGACACGTTGTGGCAAGTGTACGTCTCGTTCTGTATGTTTTATATCGAAATTGAAAAGCAAAAGAAAGTGAGATGACATATGTTTTTAATTTAACTATTCATAGGTAAATTTTATAAATATTCCATATACTTACATATGAATATTTAAAGTATTCATTATATCATTAAGATAATTATGCATAGAAATTTCTAATTTTAAGCATTATAGCAAAACGAAAAAAATTATAATTATGGTATTTCAATGTCAATTTATTTTAAAATGAATATTTGAATTTGATCATTAACTATATAGTATTGTTGATATAATATTAAAACTTTAAGTTCGAATGTGTTATCCATTAAATTTTAATGGTAAAAACTAGTTTTATTATAATTTAGTAACTTTAATTTACAAATAAAAATTATCATGAATTCGTATAATTATGTCATTATTTATAATTTATATTATGGAAATTTAAAACTGACGGACAACAATTTAATAGATAAATCATGAATTTTTTACATAAATACCTTATAACGATTTAAAAATAATGTTTACATATTTCTTTGTAGTTTAATGTATATATATATATATAGATTTTTTTTTAAATAAATTTTATAAAATTTAATATTATAAAAATAATAAATTCGTAAAAATTTTTGGTAGTGATAGTAACCATGTTGTACACGTAATATGTGAATTCATGGTATTCAACTAGAAAAATATATGTTTATCTATTGTTAACAGCACATCCACAGTCGCTCTTAACTTTTAATAATTAAAGAAATAATAATATTTAGTTCATCATCTTCGGTAGCCACCACTTATAAAAATTAAATAACCTTTTATCAAAATAATTAATTTGATACGTTATTTATATATTTATTCATGAGCGTTTATTTCGGAATTGTATTACGGTGTCTTCTTTAAAAGAAGCAGTAGGTGTACGTGTTTTATTTTTATTTGTTTTTTTATCCACCCTGAAATAAGATGCCTACGACCAGACGTCGGTAATACCCGGCTCCACTCGTATGGTAACCGTGCACGTATAAGAGGATTTTCCTTTTTCTATTTTTTTTCTCCTTTTTTCCATCATAATGTAACACTATGTCAATTATAATTACGCATTGCATTGTGTATCGAACGGTAGAAGTGTTGCGTGTGAGAAATACGTTCACCGGACGAGTAACTATTATATACTAATGTGTAATGTCTATAATATTGTATAGTGTGGACTACACACACGAGTGCGACAACTTGACGACGTTAAGTAGGGAACGCATCATATATCCACGATGCGTTTATTCATAAGACGCAACTGTCAACATACGCGTGGTCAGCAGATAGCCGCCGCTGGCCAACGGCCTCAAACGTATATTAATATTATGTTGTGCGTACCAATGCGATTTGCGGTGACTTTTTTTTTCCGCATAAATCACATTATCATTATTAATATTATACCGTCACGATCTGAATGGAAAATCATATAAACTCGTTGAGAAAACAATAACAATTGATATTATAGTTTCGAACAGATTTACATTGCGTACCAGGTATACATATACATGTGCACTTGATTTAATATTTTTCGTGGGCGCAATCTGGGAATACGTTTTGATCGTAATTTAGAAACATCGTTAACAGCTTCATTGACGGAGCAACCGTTATACTATAAGTAGTGCGCACACTTGTATAATAGTACATATATGTAATTATTGGTTGACAGAGTTACGGTCGAAAGAATGATATTTTTGACTTTTTAATTTAAATTTTAAGTATATATTATATTATACGACAACGTCAACCATAAACGATTTGAAGTATATTGCACT